TTCTAGCAGCAAGAATTTTATTGCTGAAAAAAGTTGAGCCGTTGAACATACCAGCATATTCAACAGTTTTATTTGTTTTGGGGTTTAAATTTCAGATATTTTTTCTGGTTTCTGATGCAAATTCTGATTGGATAATTAGAGTGATTTTCTTGTTAATCAATTGATATTAATTTTACATTTGTTTTGTAGGAAGAAAAAAAATCAGTTTTTGAGAAAATTCAGGCATTTCAAGACACTGTTCTTGAAGTACAAGAAACTCTTGATTTTTGTGCTTCATGTGCTGAACGTATAAAAAAGTAAGTGTTTGTCAAATTCTTTATTTCTCAAATTTTAAATGAACGTTATTTATTTTTTCAAAAGCACATTCAATTTTTCTGTACCTTGGTTATCTTGGCTTGCTATTATTGTTCTACTCGTTGTAACACTTATTTTATATTTAATTCCATTACGATATCTTTTACTTGCATTTGGTATGTTAAACAATAAATCAGTCTTGTTTCGTCATACATTTTATTCTCATTGAATATTGTTTTTACAGTTATAAATAAGTTTACCAAACGTTTTCGAAAACCTCCAAATTACGTTGATAATAATGAACTAATCGATTTTATATCACGGTTGCCTAGTGATATGGAACTGGTAAGATACATTTTATATTTATCACTAGAGCCCTGTATCGGAATTTTTTCTTGATTGAGTATTCTTACAATAGATAACTGAGTTCGAATACTAGATTTTTTTCGGGTTGCACGATTGATAATTAAATTCTCTGGAAATTGGAAATCCAATTCCGTTGACCTTCAGGCCAAACATAAACCAAATTTGAAAAGGTACTCTTTTGATAGAGAGTTTGATTTTCTATCAATCGTGCAACTTGAAAAAAATTTAGCATTCGAACTCACGAGGGAACTGCCCCAAGTGTCCACTCGCTTTTTTGTTGAAATCGCTTTTTTTTCAGAAACCCCAAAAAATAACCCGCACTTTTCTTAATGAGGCATGATTGTAGCCCGCACATTTCTGATTTAAATGAGACCTCGCCCAACTCTACTTGACCTTTCTTTGCAAAGTTATAGAATTTGCAACAAAAC